GCCTCCTTCTATGAAGGGCTGCTGCAGTGGCTCTACCCATCAGCACTAAGTACTGATTGATTCTGTATATGATTTTTTCTATGTTTTGTTGGCACTTTTAAAAATATCTCCCAAAAAATGGGGGAAGAGAGGGGTGTGTGTCTTGTATACACAATACAAGGTGAGCTCACTTGCATCCCACTTCTTCATTTTACAGTTGTCTCTCATCGAATTTAATTCAAAGGCAATTTGAGTCAACTAGATCATATAAACTCTTGGGCAGCATTGTGTTGCTGCTGCTAGAAAATAATTCTGCCATAGGCTTGGAAAAACCTTTGCACGCCTCCTCCATACTGTGGCTTAGATAAATATGATGCAAAATGTAAAGACAACACTCCCTCCTTGCTGCCTGTGGTGTAGAATGGCACCATGAGAGAATACTCAAGCTTCTCCCTTATACAGGTTTGGAAGAGCAGTGGCAGTAAGATAACTGACTATGTATGGGTATTCAGGCTTATTCCAAAGAACACCTGCAGCCAAAGGTGATCACAGAATGCCTTTGGTTGGACAAGACTTTAAAGATCATTGAGCTCCAACTAGTGGCTGCCAATCATCGGATCAAACTGCCCAGGGCCCCATCTAGGCTGGCCTTGAACACTTCCAGGGATGGGGCATCCACAGCTTCTCTGGGCAACCTGATGATGAGTGATCCCCTCCAGCTGTTCACCCAGGGCTTGTCCTTAGTCCCTTGCAGCCTGATATCTCTGTGGCTGTAGGCTGGGATCCAGGGAAAGACACTCCTGTTTCCTGTGGGGCCTGATCTGAAGAGTGCCGTGTCTCCCATCTTTGTGGCCTAAAATCAAGCCATGATCTAGCCTCCTCCGTCAGCTGAAGGTCAGAAAGCCAAAAAGAGCAAGTGGAGGGGACAGCATGCCTGTGCCTCATGGTTGCCGTCATGGTTGTAATAGAGGAGGATGAAGCTGGGCTGAAAAAAAAAGTTTACTACATTTTCAGCTTTTCTTGGTAGGGAGTGCTGTCTCTAATACTCATGCAGGTTAGGGGATTGCTGTCTGCGTTCTGCTTCTCAGGGAAGCCAAATCGGTGCCGTCAAAACCTCGGACAGCACCCACTGTTCCTCGGCCCGGCCATCAGGTGCCAAAGGGGATCCAGGAGACCCGGACCGGATAAGAATGGTCCCTGTCCCTTTCCCGGGCCTCCTTCCTGGAAGCACATCGGGTCGCTCACCCCGCAAATGATGAGAGGCATTTTGGGATGGAAGCGCTGCCGCCGGGACCGGGCCGGCCGCCTCCGGCTCCGCCGGGCTCCTTCGCACCCGGCGGACAACGCCCGGTCTCGGTGGGTCCCGTTCTGGGTGCTGCCCTGCCCGGGCTCCCCCGCCCCGCACGCAGCATCCCCCCCTCCGCCGTACATTTTCCCCCGTCTCTGTTAACAAACCCGGTGATTAAGACGCGAAACCAACAAAGAGTTTTTCTCCCACCTTAACCTTGCACACAATCCTTTAACAAATTAATTAATCCTAATGAATTAACACTTCATTTATTTAAACGCGCTACAGTTCATGAATTAAATTTTCATGCAGTGATTAAAGGCTGTTAAAATATGCATGATTTCGTTAAAATTTTATAATAAATCAGGGCAATGTGTTACATGACAAGGCAACCGCTTCCCAGCCCCTCGCTACGTGCTCGCATTCGAGTCGGGGGGGTTGGGAGGACGGGGAGAGAAGGCTCCGTGCCCGCTCCGAGCACAGCGGGACGGGGCCCCCCGAAGCCCCCGGCATCCCCCAGGGGCCGAGAGCGGCCGTGGGCTGCGGAGTGCAGTGCCGGGGGCGCTTCTCGCTTGCAAGAAGCACCGAGAAGAAACTTTGCCATCAGAGCGCTGCTTTCCTGCGGACCTCTCCGCAACTTTCCCAACAGAGACGCGGCGGACCGCCCCGGGACGCCCAGCAGCTCGGTGCGTTTCAATTTTTCATAGGACACCGTTCTACACTTTGGCTGCGGCCGCGGTGATTGCAGCGCGCACCGCGGTAATTAGTGGCTCTTTGCTGATGTAGGGAAAGTCTTCATTAGGACATGGAAATACTTTTTGTGCATTCACCCAAAGGGTTATTATTATTTTTTTTCCCTTCCGAAGGTTGTTTTTTGTTGTTGTTTTGTTATTGGTGTTTTTTTGTGGGTTTTTTTTGTTTTGTTTTGTTTTGTTTTGCCGTCTAAAGGGAAAACAGCTGAGTGTTTTCCCCTTTAGAAAGGGAAAACTCAGCTGGTGCTCAGTGGGATATTGACTTTCTGTGGACGGTGCTGAGACGTTCTGCCCGTGCTCTCTCTAATACACGGGGCAGTGTATACACTGCCACAAAGTAATGCTGGATGGAATAAAGAGCCAGGGAAGGTTAGAGCACGGTCCGATGAGCCTCACGGTGACTCCGGTAAAAGTCGGGATATATGACAATCAGTGGTCAGGCGCAGACACTTAATATCCTTATACTGATAGAATCATGTAATCATTAAGGTTGGAAAAGACTGCTAATTCTATCTAGACCATCAGTCCACCCATCTTCGGGGAATCCTAAAAAGGAAACCCAAACGCAGTGCATTACAGCAATTAATTTACAAATGGTTTCACTGTGGCCATAAGGGAGGCTTTGGAGCCTTCTCGAGGTGGGCAGCACAGTCCACTGGGGAAAGGCACCCATTTCCTGCATCTGAAGCAAGAGAAAACTGCAGAAGGCACATAACTACATTGTGTGTATATACATGTGTGCACATGCGGTTGCCTATGTGTGTATATATGTATGTATATGTATGTATATGTGTGTATATGTACATATATATGTGTATATGTATGTGTATATATGTGTGTATATGTGTGTGTCTATATATATCTGTGTGTATGTATGTGCATATATATGTGCATAAATATGTGAGTCTGTATGTGTTTCTTTATGTGTTTCTGTGCCCCCACCCCCCGACCCACCGTGTCAGGGCCGCAGTGCCACCTTCCCCCCAGCTTGGAGCTCGAGCTATGCCCATCAGCACGGGGCTGGGTGGGACCCCCGGGGAACGGACACGAGGAGGATCTAGGGAATGATAAATAAAGCGTTGCTTCATGTCAGCGCTTCGGTGATAGTAATAGCAGAGGTGTCCCAAGGAAAGTTTTTCCTCTAGGGTTTGGAGTGCAGAGGAGGCAGAGCAAACGCTGTCTGAACTCATAACATAGAGCAACCCATCCCGCTTCCTCTTGCCCTCTGCCTTTCCCTCCCGCACTGTTTAAGATCTGTCAGGGAAGAAGCTGACACCAAGTCTCCAACGCTGCGGCAGTGGCCGGCCCCAACCCCGAAAGCCGAGGGGCCAAACAGGGAAGGATCCCGCTGAGACCCGAGGGGTGGAGGGCGTCTGTAAATAGAGAGACCCCACCCCCGCCACAGCGGTATCTCGATGCCACGTCGTTCATCCCCGAGCATCATCGGAGCAGCAGCAACGCCGGAGCTCCCCCGCAGCTTGTGCTCGTTCCCTCCTGGCTGCGGGGGGGCTGCGGAAGGGCACACCGGGACGGCTGCGGGCTCCTCTCGGGTTGCGCCGTGCCCCCGTCACCGCGTTCCGGAGGGGCAGAGCCGTCCCCGGGTACTCCGAAGACCATTCTCAGCTTTGCCTCCGAGGATCTTCGAGTCCATAAAGAAGCTAGAAGGGAAAAACTGCCCTAAAGCAGGACAATAGCCCCAAAGAGCGCTCACAGAACAGCCGCGGGTTCCTAACTCCACTGTCCCTCCTGAAGTGTTTCATTTGGGTGCAAAAGTATTCGATGAGCCACGGAGAGAGAGAGGAGCAAGGGAAGGAGGGAAGGATTCGTTCCCTAAAGCACTTCTCCTTTTTATTCAGTTTGGAACTGTGTGAGAGGGAATCATCATTCCTGTGGCAAATGGGAGAGGAAGAGATGGGGAGAGAGGGGAAGGAAGAGGAAGAGAGAAAGAAAAGAAATAAAATGGAAAAGAGAAAAGGGAAAGGGGAAGAAGGAAAAAAGAAAAGGGGAAAAAAGAAAAAGGAAGTGAGGGAGGGAGGGAGGGAGGATGGGAGGAAGGAAGGAAGGAAGGAAGGAAGGAAGGAAGGAAGGAAGGAAGGAAGGAAGGAAGGAAGGAAGGAGGGAAGGAGGGAAGGAGGGAGAGAATAAGAAAGAAAAAGAGTGGGGAAAAAAGGTGGGAAAGAGGAAAAAAAAAAAAGAAGAAGAAGAAGGGCAGGGGGGCAGAAAGAAGGAAAGGAAGAATTAGCAGTTCCGTTGGTGATTGCCACGCAGAGCAAACTTTGGTTTCCCCGCACGGGAGCGGAAGGGAAATGCACAATTCCAGTAGACTGTGGGGGGGAAATGAGGGAGAGGAACTGTGTGGGAACCGATAGCCCCTGAGTGCCCCGAATCAGTGTCCGTCACCGGGGTTATTCTGGAGGAAGCCGCTAATAACGGGGAGGTAACGGGGCGAGGCCGAAAGCAGGGGGGGTCTCCGCACGGAGCTCGGCCACGGTCGGGGGGACATCGGCGGGGCACGCGGGGCCGGGACAGCCACAGGTGCGGCCGCTCTGAGAGCCGCCCCGCGCCTGCCCCGGCGATCCGTACGCGCTGCGGGAGGTGCGGAGAGGGGAGGCGGGAGAAGAGGGGGAGGAGAAGGAGGAGAAAGAGGAGGAGGAGGAGGAGGAGGAGGAGGAAGGGGGGGAGACAGCTGATGCCTGTCAAAGCCACAGCCGCCGCGCTCTCGCGAGAGCCCGCCCGGCTGTAGCCACGGGATGCGGGGCTCAGGTGCGCGCAGAGCGCAGCGCAGCGCGCCCGGCGCCGGGCAGCGGCAGGCAGCGAAGTGAGCGGCGGGGGCCGGAGGGAGCCTCACCGCCCGCCCAGCCCAGCGCAGCCCGGCCCGGCCCCGGGCGGCTGCCTCCGGCGGGAGGGAGAGGGCAGAGCGCCGGAGAGCACTTTTCGCCCTACTTGAGGAGTGTTTGTGGATTTACATGCCAAGCCTTCAAGATGATGTCGATGAACAGCAAGCAGCCGCATTTTGCCATGCATCCTACCCTACCTGAGCACAAGTACCCCTCGCTGCACTCCAGCTCGGAAGCGATCCGGAGAGCGTGTCTGCCAACGCCGCCGGTAAGGGACGGGCGGCTCCGGCTCCCCTTGCCTCCTTCTCTCCTTCCTTCTTTCTCTCCTCTCTTCTTTCTCTCCTTCCTTCTTTCTCTCCTTCCTTCCTTCTCTCTCTTTCTCTCTCTCTCCCCCCCGCCCCCCCGTTCCCCTCTCTCTCCTGGTTGCTGCATGTCTGTGTATGTGCATTAATAAAAAAACCGCTGCGAGGCACATTCTGACAAGCGGCGCTTAATGTTTTTTTCATGTCTTCCCCTGCAATCATCGGAGCGCTGTGATCTTTTTTGAAAGCGGCGTTCGCGCGGCGCTCCGACTTCAGCCGCTCTCCGCGTTCCTTTCTATCACTCGGCCTCTGCGAGGGAGTGCGCGGTGCGTGCGTGGCACCGTTCCTGGCTGAGAGTTACAGATCCGTTTCTTCTCTCTCTCCTTTCTTTTCCCCTTTTATTTCTTACATTTATTTCTTCCCCTCGCACCCTGTCCACCCCGCTCCCCTCTCTGCTCCGTCCTCGGCTCCCCCCTCGCCGCATTCCTCCCACCATTCCGCCTTCTGTCCCCTCTCTGTCGTCCCTTACCCTTTACCCGCCGCCTCTCCCCGGCCCCCTGCCGCCCCCGCTCTGTTCTGTGTCCCCGCAGTTGCAGAGCAACCTCTTCGCCAGCCTCGATGAGACGCTGCTGGCTCGGGCCGAGGCTTTGGCCGCCGTCGACATCGCCGTGTCGCAGGGCAAGAGCCACCCCTTCAAACCGGACGCCACGTATCACACCATGAACAGCGTCCCCTGCACCTCCACCTCCACCGTGCCCCTGGCGCACCACCACCACCATCACCACCATCACCACCAGGCGCTGGAGCCCGGCGACCTCCTGGAGCACATCACCTCGCCCTCCCTGGCGCTCATGCCCGGCGGCGCCGGCGGAGGAGGCGGCGGCGGCGGCCACGACGGGGCGGGCGGCGGAGGCGGCGGGGGAGGCGGCGGAGGGGGCGGCGGCGGAGGGGGCGGCGGAGGCGGCGGCCTCATCTCCAGCTCGGCGCACCCGCACCCGCACATGCACGGCCTGGGCCACCTCTCGCACCCGGCCGCCATGAACATGCCGTCGGGGCTGCCGCACCCGGGGCTGGTGGCCGCGCACCACGGCGCGGCGGGGCAGGTGGCCTCGGCGGCGGCCGTGGTGGGAGCGGCGGGGCTGGCCTCCATCTGCGACTCGGACACGGACCCGCGGGAGCTGGAGGCCTTCGCCGAGCGCTTCAAGCAGCGCCGCATCAAGCTGGGGGTGACTCAGGCCGACGTGGGCTCGGCGCTGGCCAACCTGAAGATCCCGGGCGTGGGCTCGCTCAGCCAGAGCACCATCTGCCGCTTCGAGTCGCTGACGCTGTCGCACAACAACATGATCGCCCTCAAGCCCATCCTGCAGGCCTGGCTGGAGGAGGCCGAGGGGGCCCAGCGGGAAAAAATGAACAAGCCCGAGCTCTTCAACGGGGGCGAGAAGAAGCGCAAGCGGACTTCCATCGCCGCCCCGGAGAAGCGCTCCCTGGAGGCGTACTTCGCCGTCCAGCCCCGGCCCTCCTCCGAGAAGATCGCTGCCATTGCCGAGAAATTGGACCTCAAAAAGAACGTGGTGCGGGTTTGGTTTTGCAACCAGAGACAGAAGCAGAAACGGATGAAATTTTCCGCCACCTATTAGGGGGAGGGGTCGAGGGAGGGCGCGGGGGGACCGAGGGACGGTGCCGGAGTGACTGCGGGGAGCAGAGGGGGGGAGCGGGGCAGCGCCGTCGATGATTCGCACCGAGAGGCGCCGGGACGGCCCCAAAGGAAGGAGGGGGGGGTGGCTGAGACTGCCGTGGGGCCGCAGCCCCGTCTCCTCTGCCCCCTTCCCTACTTCTTCCCCCCCCCCCGCCCGGCAGAAGGAACAGCACCGCCACGCACCGACGGTACCGCAGCAACCATGAACCCGGCACCGAGTCCCAGCTTTCAGCAGGAAAACAAAACCGAGCCACGACCCGAGGGCGGAACTGTCGGTGACGATGCTACGTTTGCTTTGGTTTGGGCCTCTTTTCATTACTTTGGTTTCTTTCCCTTTTCCCTTTGCTTGAGAGATGAGGACGGCGGTGCTTTGGTGGGGAGGGGAGGGCCGGTTGGGTCGGGGATGGATTTAGTGGGTTTGGATTTATTTTTATTATTAATTAATTTATTAATTTTTTTTTTTTTTTTCCTTGAATGCGCTTTTTCGCGAGGCTTTGCCCACGGCTCTGTCTGTGCTGAGCGCTGAGAGCCGCCGCGTCCCTTTTGTGCAGTTCCCCCCTCCGTGCTGTTCCTCTCTCCCTGCACCGCCCCCCCCCGGCCCCGGTCCCTGTGGGATAGGGCTGCGGGGGGGGGGGGATGGGAGGGGAGCTGGTAGGGGATCCACTCGCGGGGTGAGCGCAGCTCCGTGCGGCCGTGGTTCTGTCGGCCCCCTCCCTCTGCTCCCATTCGGTCCCACTGCGCTGGGACAGGGACGGCCCTGGAGTGCTGCCCTGGAGTGCTGTAGGGGTTTGGGGGCAATCGCATTGGATGGGTGGGACGGGAGGGAAACGAGGAGGCAGAGTAGCATTTGTTTCCGAGGGGCTGCGGGCAAAAGGAACAACACAATTTGGGCTGAAAAGTCGTTTAGTGGGAGTAACAACCGTTGGGTAGGGGATGGGTTTTGGGTGTGTGTGTGTGTACCGGGGAAAGGGGAGAGGAGGGGGTCGGTTTGCACTGTGACAGCCTCCCGGATTGCAGGCGGTAGGATTCTGCAATCCCGATGCTGACACCAATAGTCAGGGTGCAGCGTTACGCGATTGAAAAAGTAAAAACGAAACGATCAGACCTCGTTAGGTAGAACTGAGCGCAGGAGTCGGGACAGGGGCCGGTTGCTCGCATCTGAGCAGGCAGGAATCCCTGAACCCTCCCACCCTCCCCAGTCCCCATACACACACACCCTGTCCCTCCCCATTTAAAACAAAACAAACAATAGCCTGAAATCGTGCATGCCCCGAACGAGGAAAAGAGGAAACAAGGCACAGAGAGAGCCGTGACAGAGCTTCGGCGTTATTTATTTATTTATTTAACTATTTATTTTATTATGATGATGATTAATATTAATATAATTATTATGATTTGGTGTATCATTGTTTGCAGCGCAAACATTCTATGCATTCTGAAACTGAGCACTAACTAGAATAGCGTCTGGTAGAACCTTTGTGGATGGTGTGATCTCACAGTCTGACTGCCTGTTTTCACCGGGGACACCAACATTCTTGTCACGTTCTTGTATTTAGATTTAAAAGAGGGGGAAAAAAAATTAAAAAAAAAAATAGAAAAAAAAAAAAAAGAGAGAGAGAGAGAGAAGAAAGACGATTGTAAATATTTTCTTTAATGCACAGAAAACAAACAAACAAACAAACAAAAAGGTTACAAACTGCAACCACGTGTGGATCCTGAGATGTCTCACGAATACGCTGTCCGTGTGCGTCTGCTGAGCTTTCTCCTTGGTTGTGTCCTTATTCTGTTTCTTTCATTTCTATCAGAAGTATTTCCGTATGCCAAAATACAACGGGGAGATGCGTCCCAGCATACTTACACATAGAACAAACGTGGAAACAGAATAGTTGTTATTATTGGGTGCATTGAAAAAATAATCATAATAATAGTATTTCTGAGACACGGCTGCTAAATTGAAGGTACGGCCGTGGGCCGATGGGAGTAATTCTACCAAAAAGAAAATAGTGAGAGATGTATTTTTCTGCTAAATCCAGAAATCCTTACTTTGAGATAGCTCTTATGTGAAAATCGGTGCTCCGAATAAAATGAACTATATATTAATTAGCTGCGTGTGTTTCTTGGAGTTTATTCTATAACTGCAGAATATAAATCGAAGTTAAAAAAAAAAAAAAAGAAAAGAAAAAAGAAAAATTTAAGAGGGACTTCTGAACTATTTCTTTTCGGTTCGCTGGAAAGGATTATGCACCTGCAAAAAAAAAAAAAAGAAAAAGAAAAAAGAAAGAAAGAAAAAAAAAGAAAAAAAAAATGTATAGAGAAGGGAAGCGTGGGTGGTTTCAGGCGACGCGTTGTTCCGACGGGCCTAATTGCACTGAACGATGTAACGAAATGCTTTATTTTTGTTTGGGGTTAATAAAGGCGAGAATCCCGAGCTGATCTCGCGCTGTACGCGCCTACGGGGCCGCCCGCCCGCCGGGAGCGCGCAGGACGATGCCACCTACCGCCCCGCGCCCACAGCGCTGCGCTGCGCTGCGCTGCGCCCGAGCGGACCCGACGGCAACGCCGCGCAACGGCCGGGATGGAGGAGTTGTCCCGCAGAGAGGCACGTTTTTAGCCAAATCTTTTTTTTTTTTTTTTTTTTTTTTTTCTTCATTTCGCCGGTAAATCTGTGAATGGAGACACGTGATGTTCGGAACAGAATGATAAAGAAAAATAAATAAAAGAGCTGTGATTTTGGACAACTGTTGATGTTATAATATTGAGCACTGAGGGTATTTTTAAAAAGCATAGATCTCGTCCACCGGAATCGACCTCTTTCTGTTGTTGTTAACTCGAAATGTCATCGGGATTTTTAATAAACGCATTTGTAAAAATATTATTTTATAGAAAAGTATTACCGGGTATCATTTTTTGGAGAGTCAGGAATGAACAAATAAAATTAATTACAAACCTTGCTTTTTTTTTTTTTTTTTCCTTTTGTTTTATTTTTTCCATCTGCCCCAGAGAATTACACTGTTACAAGCGATGCCACATTTGTATATACGGTGCTGAGCAATGTATGTATCGAGAAGTGAAGGAGTTGGGTTTTTTTTGTAATCGCTACAGTCCTTATCCAGTACAAAGGAGAAATAACTTGTGAATAAAACAGATCGTGAAAATAAAAGCTTTGCAGAGTTTCCTATTTCTCACAGTAGGAAACTGTGCAAAACCAGAACGCTCTGCTTTTGTCGGATCAATCTGAATGTTTCACTAAATAAGAAAAGAAAAAAAAAATAGAAAAGAAAAAGAAAGAAAACCCCACGAAATACTGATGAGGCCTTTTAAATAAACGCCTCCCTGCAAATATCTCAGGAAATAAAATTCCAAGAAGAAAAATGCGTATAGGCATGTTCGTAGGGACGGGGCTTGTGGAGGCTAAAACTCTGGCTCCCGGGAAACAAAACAAAATTAAGGCCAAGTGCTGCACGGGTGCTGCTGCTCAACCCCCGCAGGCGCAGCCCCGCGGAGCGCAGCGCTCCCAGAGCCGCGGGTTCGAATCCCCCTCACGCCGCGGATGCTCCGGCCGCCCCTCGCCCCGCCGCGGTGCCTTAAGAGCCGGTCCGGCTCCCGGAATGCCTCCTCCGCACTTTGCTCTCCTACGCTTTCAACTTAGATTAGGTCGTCAAAAGTGAGTAAAAGACACCCACTGCCACGGCCGTATTGATTTTTGCTCTCCTGCGATACTAAGGCTAATTCGGCCCCTCTTCAACAAGTCCGGCGCTCCCCAGAAAGGAGCGGAGCCCCCGCAGCATGGCCCGACGCGTGCCCCTTCCTCCGAGCCAGGGATAGGTCTGTCCAGAGCTAATTGCTGTAACTCGGACGGACATTATGGCACAGAGCTCGATGCACCGCCGCTGCCCCGCGCTGCTCTGGTGTTTCCCAAACGATTCTCACTCCCTCCAGTTATTTATGCCTCAGTATTCGGCAGCGCTGTTTTTTAATGCCTCATTGTATTTACCTGCTGACTCCAAAGAGGAGAGCAGCCTAATTGATTCTAACAGATCGGCGGCAGAATTCCAACCCGCATGGGAACCTGCTCCCACCTGCGATACAGCCCGATTATTAGCGGCAATTACGTTATTTCGGAGCTGATGGAACACCCAGGTCCGACCCGGCGCCGCACTGCCGGCCCCGCACTGCCCGCACCCACTGCGGCCGCGCTGTCGCAAACACCATTATGGAGCCGCCCTGAATAATTCATGCACTGAGATTTGGAAAATTAATAAAATGAATTATAACAAGAGGCTAATTAAAAACTTTAGTAATTGTTGTCAAGACAGCTTGATGGGAGGCGTGCTGCACGACCCCCCTCCCTTCCCCTTCTTCCTCCTCCTCTATCTGCTTTTGGAAAACATTTTTTTCCCTCTTTACAACCCCCTCCTCCAAACCCGGACGAGGTTCAGTTTGGAAGGAAAGTTGGAATGGAGGTGGGTGCATATATAGGTCAGCAGAGATGGGGCCAAAGTAAAAGGACTGCGAAGAGAGCTTTTGGCATCATAGTACAACGAGTGGGGGGGTGGGTGGATGTATGGATGTATGGATGGATGGATGGATGGATGGATGGATGGATGGATGGATGGATGGATGGACTAGTAGAGGAATGTATGTGTGGATTGACAGATGTACGGATGGATGGATGGATAGATGGATGGATGGAACCCATGTCTCAAAAGTTCATTTCAAATAGGATGTAACATCCATATATTTGAAGGAATCGAGAAAACAGCAGCCGCAGAAAGAGGTTTCTGCACCGAGAGCCCATCGCCAGGAGGAGAAACACCGGCCGGGGACAGGCGGGGCAGCACCCCGGGGCTTTGCCTCTTCACCTCCATTTGCGCGGCCGCGGGGTGCTCACCGCAGTGCCCCCAGCACTGCTTTTCTCCCGTTCGCCTGAAGGCAGAACTTCCACCGGCCCCTGAGCGGTGTTCCCCCTTCCAGAACATTTCTGACTCTGGGGGGAAAGTTC